TTTTACACATATAGTCTTTCACTCAATCCATCCATTTTTTTCTTACGTCTACCTCTTTCTCTAAAGCCATTCATAATTAAAACTCTTTTACCACTTACCCCACTCAAGACAGATCCCGGGCAAAATTACGATTACGGAGCTTACCGCGGTCAACACTGTGTATTATGTTATTATTATTAATTTTTATTTATTTACTTAATGGCTCGAGTATCTTCTTTGTCGAATGACTCTGCCAATGTTAGGTAGATAGAATATCAGTGATATAGTTAAATGATAGTAGACGAGACGAATGAGAACGGGAGAAAATTTGTAAATATTTTTATAGTTTAATATTAGTGCGGGAAATAAAATAAGCTAATGCATTTACAAATTTAGGTTAAGAGATAGTTCATATTAACTGGGAACGGGATGTTAGTGTTAGTTAGTACACAGTATAGTGGTGGGCATTCATCATTAAGATCTATTGTGGGATTAAACCTCACCTGTCAAAACATATCTCTGTAATATCAACGTTCCAGCGCATATTGTAGAGTTGTCGTCTCTGATAAGAGCATGCCAGGGCATAGGTTCTTCTTCGTTTCCACCGCATTGTTTTTCGGATATTTTAATTCTTCCACAGTTATCATCGTGTTCTGTATAAGTAGATGAGGCTGTTGATTTATATCCGTTGATATATTCATCTAAGATTCCCTTGTGGAAAAAAATGTATTTTTTTATATGTTTTTTATATGTTTTTTATATATATATATATATATATATATATATATATATTATGAAACATTAATGTGATTTGTGGCAAATAGAAAATAGTCTGGAAAAAATTGAACAAGTATGTAATTTAAAAAAAAAAAATTAAGTCATAAAAGAGTGTTTGATTTAAAAACAGAACAACAACGTTCTTTGGGTTAGCGACTGAACTTCTTAAATATCTTCTTTATGCTGCCTTTGTTATTAAGTTACCATGATATGGAAAAAAACATTGGTGCCTATTCCAGCTACAGGCTCAGAATGGACCAGACCAGATCGAAATAATAGATAAAGTAATAAAAAAATACTGATTGCAAAAAAATACTCTGGAAGAAAACGATGATCAGACAATTCTTAACATTGGTGTGAATAAATACTTAATAATGGCTTATTTTTCATTCTTTGATAAGTGGTTGATCCCACGGTCCATCCGATGTTAAGTTGTTCCATTTGCCGTTGACGGTCACGTCACTCACAAAGGACGACAAACAATTGCGAAAATCATAAAATTCGCGGGTCTGATTTTTATCACTCGATGTTATTCTTTTATACAAGTTGTTGGTGAACATGTGTCAAATACATTTTTCGTTGGGAAGTTCGATTAATGATATTGTTTGCGGGATTCGAATAGTCGCATTGCTGGATGTGAGTGCAACGGACGCCTTAATGATTAGGCCATAACAACGATATAGCTTGATTTAAGACTTTTGTACTTTAAATCGTTTAACAACCATAAGCCTATAACTTCGACCAATTATTCTTACTCTTCAGAGTCTACCACCTCGTCTGTATGTACGATCTATCACTTTTTTAATAATACTAGAGGTCCCGCAGTAGTCGAAATTCGACTATAATTAATTGGAATTGTAAGTTTGTCCACTATTATGATTGTATTTTATACTTGTATAATCACAAATTTCGCCAAGACCAAAAAATATTAGCAAAGACAAACAATATTTAATCTATTCTCAATTTGACAACAGACGTCAAGAACAAAAGTTTGACAATAAATAGTATGCATGCGTGTGTACGTCAAATACATGGTATGTAGTGTGTGTAATGTTTTCTTCATTGATTTAATGTATATTTTATACATTATTAAAAAAAAAAATTAGCATTGTGCACTTCTTCTCTATATTCTCTATAAGTGTGGAAAATTTCATACTCCTCCGTCCGCGCAATTTTCGTAAAAAGGGATACAAAGTTTTTGCTTCACGTATTAATATATAGATAAAACATACATTAGGCTTTTACTTACAAGTGCCGGGTGCTCGCAGTATTCGACGAAGTTTAAGTTAATAGTGGTCGGGTAAGGTACTACGGATAAGTTTAAACCTATCACATCTGCACTGAAATAGGGTCCGCCTTTAAAGTATTTGATGAAGAACATTCCGTCAGCAGAGGAAGACACTCTTGCTAGTTTGCCTATGTCGTTGCTCTGAAAAAATTAATACATAAATGTGATTAAATATAATATAAGAGGTAAAACTGAAAATAGTACCAAATTAAAGGAATTCACAGAATACAAGAAATTTTTACTGGTGGTAGAACCTCTTGTGAGTCCGCGCGGGTAGGTACTACCGCCCTGCCTCTTTCTGCCGTGAAGCAGTAATGCGTTTCGGTTTGAAGAGTGGGGCAGCTGTTGTAACTATACTTGAGACCTTAGAGCTTATATCTCAAGTCGTAGATGTCTATGGGCTCGAGTAATCAGTTAACACCAGGTGGGCTGTGAACTCGTCCACCCATCTAAGCAATAAAAAAAAATTCAATAAAATGTTAGTTCTTAAATTTTTCGAAGTTTTCTTCAAATAGTTTCTACCTTAAAATAGATGAGTTTACTAAATCGATCGACTGAACCTCAAGTTTCGTGATACGCAAAAGGAATTAACGCTATTATGAGGCGTCCATTAATAACTTGCTTTACAACAAAAAGAAGTGAATCAATAATACAATGAAGCGGTGAATAATTTTAAACAATACACTTTTTCTAATATACAAATAGTTCATTAAACAGTTATTCAACTGAAGACAATGTTTCTTCAGTTGTTCAGTGACCAGGAAAACCGTATTGTTCCTAAAATAATACTTTATGGTGACCACTTCGATAAAGCGGCACGACATGAGAATCCTCTCGTTGTGGCCGCCGGAAACTACATAGCCGATCCAGCGGACCAAACGGTAAACAGTCGCCAAAAAACCCTTCATTTCGGATCCTCCCGATCCACTTACGGTGCTCTTAGGTACTACAAGCACCGGTCATGGTTCTCGTCGAACTTGTCGCTCGCGACGAAGGGTACGGCGAGTAAATTAACCCACACACACACAGTCCACTGAGTTTCTCGCCGGATCTTCTCAGTGGGTCGCGTTTCCAATCCGCTACCATCGGATTCTGCGAAGCACGGCTCTTGCTAGGGTTCATGTTAGCAACATCGTCAGGTTTGAGCCCCGTGAGCTCACCTACTCGTTAAGGTTACGCTGATATGATCTCTCTAGACCACCAGCTTAGGAAAACAAAAAGCTTTATGAAGTAAACAAAATATTTGAATTTAACCGAGACGCTTAGAGAAACGATAAAAAATTACTTACCAGAGTCACATTGGCGGGCGAATCGAATTTCATTTTGATTGTCGTGTGTTCGGGGAAAGGGCCGTGTATAAATAAATTGTATTTAGTTTCTTCCTCCGGTGCCAGGCCCGGTTCAAATGATATAGATACTTTACTATTTCCGATGCAAGGGGTGGCATGAAGAAGTGGATTCCCAATCAAAGCCCAATGCTTATTATAATCCTTAGCATTCGTACACACTAAAAGTCCAATCAGGAATAAAACTTTGCTTAAGCCGTACATTTTCCCGCACGAAATTTTATTATAATCGGATATAAACATTTTAACGAAGCGTCCAGTCGCTAAGAAGTTTCTATATTGAATCCGCAAGATACAGTCTTGTATTAGATTTTATTCTATTTTTCCTTAACAATGACCTTTAGTAGATAAATCACTAATAACCGGCTTTAGTGGGGATTTGTTGTGATGCTTAGCTAAAACTGGATTCCGTTTTTGAATTTACTTTAGGCTCCGTGATTGAGGAAACTGTTTATATTTAATTCTTCTAAAGTTAATAAATATTACCATGGGAATACACAGTGAGTCATACCAGAACAGAGTAGCAAGTTACATAACCGAACTAATTTTTTTTTTGTATAGATGTGTGGATGAGCTCACAGCCCACCTGGTGTTAAGTGGTTATTGGAGCCTTTAGACATCCTTGAGATATAAGTTCTAAGGTCTCAGTATAGTACAACGGCTGCCCCTACCTTCAAACCGAAACGCATTACTGCTTCACGGCAGAAACAGGCGGGGTGGTGGTACCTACCCGTGCGGACTCACAAGTGGTCCTACCACCAATAATTACGCAAATTATAATTTTTCGGGTTTGATTTTTATTACACGATGCTATTCCTTTACCGTGGAAGTCAATCGTGAATATTTGTTAATTACGTATTTCATTAGAAAAATTGGTACCCGTCTGCGGGATTCGAACGCCGGTACATCGATACGAATGCACCGGACGTCTTATCCTTTAGGCTATACGACTAATATAGTTGAGATTATAGAGATTTATCATCACAGAAATAAATGATATGGTTTCTGTGGTTATCTTATACCGTAAGCATTAAATTGCTTAAAGAGAAAATTAACTAAAAATATGTAGAAACATCTATAAATATATTATTAAAATAGTATTTAGGTGAGGTCACTGTTTGCCTTTTAGTAAAGACTTCCTCTATGTTTTGTCAGTCATGTTCCATGTTGCCGTATTTCCCGTGGCCACTTATAAGTTTTTTTTATTTCTTTGTGTAAATATTGCCATTCGAATTTCGAATATAAATTAGCAATAAAAAATATTCTTTATGATTTTATTCAATCCTTCTAATTTATCGATATTTAAGTCTCTCTGATGTTTTTGACTTTAAATAAACCTTGGAACTATAACCTTCGTCATTTTTAACAAACTATGCGAGTATGAGCATCACTTTTTCACTATAGTACTTAAGAGAAAGAGAGAGAGAGAGTATGCTTTATTGTACACCAAAATAAAGAAAAACGTAAAACATTAAATACACAAAAAATTACAATGGGTGGTCTTATCGCTTATCACGTCAGGAAATTAACCTCAGTGCACTACTTATCATATAAAATACATATATTTATGAATAAAATTGTTATGTTACATTGACCTCTCGCAGCCATTGAACTCAGAATCAAGTCTGAGAAAACTGGCCAGTCCACAAACAACTTAGGTAGAAAAAAAAAGACTTTCATTCCTGCGTAGACCAAGTTGTACGTCCCTAGTCGGCCTCAGGAACCCAGGCATCTTTTTTTTTATTGCATATGTGGTTGGACGAGCTCACGGCCTACCTGATTTTAAGTGGTTATTGGATCCCATATACATCTACAACGTAAATGTATATGTTATGAATACAGTATTTTCTTTGGTTTTCGCGAGCTGTAGATAAGATTCAAATTGATTTTACGGCTTAATCTCTCTCTTTCTCTCTCAAAAGTATAATTATTTGAGTATCCATTTTCTTACTTGTCTTTGTTTGCAAACCAGCATACGATCCACTTTTTTTTTAATTGCTCTTATGAGTGGACGAACTCACAGCCCACCTGGGGTTAAGTGGTTACTGGAGCCCATAGACATCTACAACTTAAATGCGCCACCCACCTTGAGATATAAGTTCTTAGATCTCAGTATAGTTACAACGGCTGCCCTACCCTTCAGACCGAAACGCATTACTGCTTTTTTTATTTATTGCTTAGATGAGAGGACAAGCTCACAGCCCACCTGGTGTTAAGTGGTTACTGGAGCCCATAGACATCTACAGCGTAAATGCGCCACCCGCCTTGAGATATATTATAATTTCTAAGGTCTTCATGGCAGAACATAGGCAGGGCGGTGATACCTACCGGCGCGGACTCACAAGAGGTCCTACCACCAGTAAAGATGGTGTATTTAATGATGAAGTATTTAAAAAGATGAGCGTCTAATACAATGTCTATAACAGTGAATATCCTAGCAGCCCATCACAACTTTGAACCCTCGTATTTTAAGCTTCCGCGTAGGCGTAACTTTTGCATTTATTTCGCGTTAACCAAAATAAAAACTTTTGCCCTAAAACAATATAAAATCGTCTCCCGATTCAGATATAACAATAAATTTTACACCGAAACAAGAAAGTTTCGTTTTTTAAGCTATTGCATAGCTTTTATCTCGAGCCTTGAGCGCGGCAACCGATTCATGAAATTCCGTAACGAAAAAAACCTAACACCCCTCACTCCGCCTATCATGTAGCTTGTGTTCAACACATTCACACGTTGCGCTTGTGTAGTGTTTGTGAATAAGCGCGTGGCGTGACGTCACACTGCATGCGCATCATGAAAAGTCTGCCCATCTCTCTCTCGCGCGGTCTAGCTTATGAGTGTGAAGGGGACAGTTAATGTTTTGTTTTTGTTAACGTTTATAAATATAGCGTGGTCTTGTTTTATTATTGTTTTAATATTAAATTATCATTGTCTAATTATAATTGCATAAATTGATAAAAAATGCCATGCAATAGCATTACCGCGGCAGTTCCCGAGTGCCACACGTTTTTTTTTTTTTGTTGTCTAGTGTTATTTGATGATAGGTATATAGTGATAGGTATGTGGGATATAAGGTTGTTATAAAAATGAATAAATGCCAAAATTCTATCAGTTTTCTTTTCATATTACATTATAACGATTGATCTATATTTAACAACGTTTTAATGAGTATTTAATATCATCTTCACAAAGTGTATAATAATTATCATTTTCGCAGATTTAATAACAATTGTACACTAGAGTTCGTAGGGTTTGATGATTGCAACAAATTCGCTTACACGAAAAAATGCCAAATTTTGGCCGTTTTCAAATTTGGGGCCAAAAGCGAGTTATTTAATGTTGCCGTAATTATAAGTACAGTAAATTTAATGTCATGACAACAGGCGCGTGATCCTATAACTAAATATTCCTAAATACTGTTAAATTAGGAAATTTACAGTAAAAACTACCTCAAATCTCATTCGTATCACTGGTTTGAAATTCAAATTCTAACTTGTTTGCTATTTATCCAGTAATGCGTGTTGAAATTCGGCTATTTTAGTTAATCAGTATATAATACAATAATAAAAGAAAACTAACTGGATATTAGAACATTATTAAAAACAAAAGAAATACGATTTCTAAGCTTTTTTAAAAAAAATGCGTGCGTACAAAGTACACATGTCAGAAGTGAAACTTCTTTGGCGAACTAATTTATAAGTCTTGCTTATATTTATACAAATCTAAAACTTTAGATTTCCGAGACTTAGAGGAAGGGAAAAAGGAAGATATGTTCGCGCCAAAAGTCTGTCAAATGTCAATCTCAAACCTCAGTGTTGACAGTCACATTATGTTTAGATTTCTAAATTGTAAATGACTAATATTTTGCCAATTGAATTGACTAATTTAATTTCATGCTATTTGATTAATGTTCCAAATTCTTTTCATTTCATCTCAATTCCTTTTAACATTTTTCACAAAAAAATTATAAAATATTAGGCTGTATGGTATGATACATTTGCCTTTCCAGTTGGGAAAATACAACAACTACTACTACTGACATTTGACAAGTACTTAAGACACTTCCGTTGCATACCTGCGTGACGTTACATCTGTAAAAATTTTACCCTCATGCGCCTAAAGAAGTTTCACTTCAAAAAGTTCCTATTTAGATTGTCATCCGTGATGGCGTTATCAAATTCGTATTTAAAATGAAAAATATAAATGAATATTATATAATATTATCAATAAATGATTAACTTGATTGTGATGGAGCATTTTTTATTCAGAACACGCCTAAATACATAAAAAAAAATAAAAAAATAGAGAAAGTTTAAATTCATGAGATGGTTACATTTTTGTACCGCAAAATTGAAAACGACCCTATTACAATGATGGTCATCTATATATTAATACGCGAAGCAAACACTTTGTATCCCTTTTTACGAAAATTGCGCGGACGGAAGAGTATGAAATTTCCCATACTTATAGAAAATATAGAGAAGGAGTGCACAATGCTAATTTTTTTTTTAAATAATGCGTATAAATTACATTTAGCCAATAAAGAATTTTAATGTATATTCATATTTTTATGAAAAATGATATTATGGAGTGAAATGAAATGAAGATGATCAGTTTGAGACATTAATCAACTGGGATGAAATAGATGAGATGATATGAGATGAAATATAATCTCAGTAAAATGGTGGTCATTTACTAAAAAATTTTCAGTGGACTTTTTGGAGGATCCCGATAAGTTACGGCATTGTTTCATTTTCCCACATTTTTGCACTTTCACAGATATTAAACAGTTAATAAACCACCATTATTACACATTTAAACCCGAAGAAACACTAAATAGACAAAATAAAACAAATCACACAACTTCACTCCTCGCGTTCCCGCCAAAAAGTCTATTTATTTCTTTAATATTATTTGTCTATAGTGTACCCTTAGCATAATCTGTGATTATAGAAGTAAAGACTTTGACAATAGAAACAAAATAATGTTCAAACTTATAATTTAAATTAATAATTACAGTCGAATTTCGACTACCGGGCGACCACTAGTAACTATTGTTACTCGATAGCAATCAATAAAATAACAAATCTAATAAATACTATAAGATCTGTTCTTTTTGTTCAGGACCCAGCCTCTGAAGTAGTCTAAGTTGATGAAATCAGTGGGATCGCTAGAGTCGCATTTTAGCGTCGAATCGTTCGTAGCAACGATTCCGTGGATGTACCACGCTCCGGTGCTATTCAATTCACGGGAATCCGG